GGGGGGGGGGGGGGGGGGGGGGGGGGGAAAGAGAAATCTTTTGGGCAAAGAGGTGGGATCATATAGTGGAAATACAGTTACATATTTCAGATACTACTCCATTTGGATAGGTGGGAAAAATTTAACCTTATTTTGTCTGGAATACTCTTGAGCAAAATGGAGATTGTTACTCCTCAAGAACCAGAGGTATTGGGCCTAAAATTGGAATTTAGAGCTTTTGCCTTGAATTTATACTTTCTGAGGCCAATCCTGGTCGCATATGTGTATCAAAATCTTCATTCTCAACAATTGTATAAGTCGTTAAAGGGTGAGGATCTCAAATGATTCCATGTCATGACCCAGGGACTAAGTCCCTTCGGGCGGGAGCAGACCTTTAGATCAATAATTCTGGTAGCATGATTCCATACAAATGTTAATGCTCAGCAATGGTATGTATGGTTCTGGGGTTGGGATCGCAGCAGTTTCAAAGTTATGACCCAGGGAATTAGTCTTCAAGGGTGGGGTGATACTCCAGTGCCATCCCTCACAATAAATGTTGATGGTTGAAGTCTGAAAGCATTAAATATAAAGGGCCTTAAAGATTTTAATGTCAATAACTGATTGAATTTGCTTTGCTTGATTCTGTTTTACAAACTTCATATTCATATTACTTACTATTTTTCTGGAGGTACTCTCTGATGACTGCTTCAACATCATCAGTTAATCCGTACATCCTTGTCTCAACCATCTCTCTCATCATCTTTTTAACCTCAGGGGTTGCAATAATACGATCAACTGAAAATCAAATAGTTTGGATGAATTTGACACATGAATTCTTGTATAAATATCAACAACAAGAGGCCCAAAGGACCGTAATGAGTGAAACGTAATGCAATGCACCTCTCCAATTATGGAGACTTCTGTACTCAATGCAATGCAGGAGAAGTTACTCAAATATTTCCGATAAAAAGTTCTGATGAGATCACTAATAGTTGTCACACAATGACTGTCCAATACAAAATCTTTTACTTTTTTTATTTTACATAAAATGCTAGTCTGATGTCCGTTTAACATTTAATCATATGGGTCCTTCAGAATAAGTTGTTTGAAGTGTTTGACATGATTGACAACTGTGACCTTGGAAGTAGGCCGAGGAAGTTTTTGCTGTTAAACTTTGTCGGAGTCTATCCAAGGAAGGAACCAGCAACATTTTATGATTCTAGGCCTTTGGTACCTCAGGAGAAGTTTTTTGAAGATTTTGACTTTTCTAAACTCTGTGACCTTAAACGTTGGTCACAATAATTAGCAAACTTTGTAAGGCCCCAACCTGGAAAGCTACCTTCCAGGTATCATGATTTTAACCTTTAGGTTCTTCAGGAGAAGCTGTGCGAAGTTTTTGATATATTTGACGTCCGTGACCTTGAAAGTAGGCCAAGGTCATTTTTGATCTGAAGATTTAATGGGCAGCTGCATTTAAGGAAGCTACCAGCCAAATATCATGAATCTTAGCCAATTGGTTCTTCAAAAGAAGTCGTTTTCACATATATGACCTCTGTGACCTAGGAAGAAGGCCCAGGTTATTTTTGTTCAAAATTTTGTTAGGCTCTGTCAAAGGAAGCTACCAGCCTTATAGTTCGATTCTAGGTTGTTTGGTTCTTCAGAAGAAGTCGTTGGAAGTTTTTGACACATTTGACCCATGTGACCTTGAATACAGGTCAAGGTTATTATGTATTCACAACTTTGTTTCTGCTCCATCCAAAGAAATTACCAGTGTAATGACATGATTCTAGACCTTTTGGTTCTTCAGATGAAGTTGTTTGAAATTTTTGACATATTTGACCTCTGTGACCTTGAAAGTACGCCAAGGTAATTTTTACTCGAAACCTTTGTTGGGCTCTATCTAAATAAGGAAGCTACCAGCTAAAAAACATGACTAAATCTCTTCAGAAGAAGATGTTTATAGAAAAATTGATGAGGGACTCCTGTATCCACTTACATGGACCTGCTCCTCAGCCCCCAGAAGGGTCAGCCCCCTAGAGTAAACTTTTGATTCTCATCATTTAAGGCAGGGGCCGGGAAAAACTTTTAAAAGCACTCGTCCGTCCGGCAAGTGGACTGGTAAAAAGTACTCGTCCGGATGGAAATTCACTTGTCCGAAAATTTTATACTAAAATGTTGTTTAAATAATATGTTAATGAATTGTATCTATTATATAAACAATTAACATGTATTATTGTGTGGTAATGAATGGCATACAATTAAAAGTCACAAAACCTGTTAATATTTGTTTGTTTTAATAGTCCATAATAACATGTGAACACTTCAACACAAATTAATTAGTCTTAAGTAACGCATAAACACAAATAATTAAGTCATTTCAACACAATGACATTCAGTCGTCAGAGCCATCTTCTGAATCATTTGGATAGCCTCGTTTTTTATCCATTATAACAAGTACAGTATCATCGGAACACTTGGACGTTATGCATCAGTTTGTAACGTTATCAATTAAACGCTTGCTTCTTAGGAGCCAGGCATTGCATCGGCGAGTCTTTACAAGTGTAAATTAGAGTTAGACTCGGTATTCACCTATCTTGTCAAAAGTGAAAGCAAATAATGAAAATGCTTCGAAGGGGCTTGGCATTTATTATCACACAGAAAAAAACGATAAGTAAAGTTACTAAAACTGAAATTTCCTTCAAAATTTACCCGTCCAACGGACTAGTTACTGTAAAAAATCACTCGTCCGCCGGCAAAAACTACTCGTCAGAATGAGCGGACGAGTGCTTTTGCCGGCCCCTGTTTAAGGGTAAGATTATTGAATGACAAAGGTTATATTCACCTGTTTGTTTCTGAAGATATGTAATTGGAAGGTTTTGCACTCCGTCACCTCGCAAACTTTTTTCATCATCCCCTATAATGATATTTGATATAACACAATACAGTACATTTCACCTAATATCATGTTGCTTAATGTCACTTTTCGGTTATTATCATGGGTTTTTTTTTATGCACCGTTTTTCCTGCTATATAATGTATGCAATTCAATTCTTTTATTATCACCTGATTTTATGTCGATTTCTCTTAATATCACTTTATTTTGGCCACAGTCACAAAAAAATTACAGGTAAATGGTGGTAATGATTCATGATAAATGCCTCGGCCTAACTGGGTATTTTTTACACCTGGCTGACTGTCAAACAATAGGTTACACCTGGTTGACTGTTAAACAATAGGTTGACTTACATACTTGTTAACATGATCGATATTCACCTGTGGTTGGGGGAGCTAGGACAGTCTAACATCTGTAAACTTTTCTTTAATGCCAAGTGTGATGTATTCTTTCAACTAATTATAACATGTGTACTATCTTCGATTACACACTTGCAGCGAATATCTAAAGAAATTAACCTATGAAAAGATGTTACTAGCGAAAGAACAGTATATATATCAAGATAAAGGTAAATATTTACCAAGTCTCATGTTTACAATGAATTTGATGCAGAATACCAGCCAAACACTTGTATGCCTTCATCACTACTGCAGTAAACAATCATAATTACGATAGTACTGATCATCATTTTGCTACTAACTATATGAAATGTAACTGCATACTGAAATGAAATACTAAAAATGTATTTATTTCTATACTTATTTACTTATATCTATATTTCAACTATCGATCCAGGAGTAGAGCCAACGCCGTTATTGTAGTTTAGGTTCGGTAGGTTCCGTTATCCCTAGCCTGGATACCAACCAGTATGCAGGGCGATTGAAGAATAGGAAAATAAGTGTAGGAGTCAATGGGCTGTTCGGGCGAAACCGGTAGACATACCCAATAAATACTGTTCGGGCGAAACCGGTAGACATACCCAATAAATAAGATTCAACTTATCCTGAGCTTGTTGCGATTGACTCCTACCCTTATATTTCAACTAGAGTTAAGAACAAGGTTAGTTACAAAATATCAATCTTCTTCGTAGAGCCACATCACTTAGGCATTTGACTAAGTTCACTTCCGGTTTTGAGGGCTGAAAAACGTCAGAAAATATGTATTCTGTTATGTCATGTTTCTGTTAATATCATGTTTTTCTCTGACAAATGGGAAGTGATATTAAGAGAAATCTACTGAACTAAGAACTTCATTACCAATGCTCAAATATCCTAGTATACAAAGAAGCCCAATGGCCCTGTATCGATCATAATACATTTAATGCTGCTCAGTCTCAAAGCACATCACCCATTATTGACCTACATGGTAAAACAAACTTTATAACAAGAAAGCTAAATACAGGCTAAATTATTAATAGACATCTCCCTTTTTGCCTGACACGGACCACCGACACCGACACGGACTTCGACGTTTGGGGGATGTCTCAAAATATAAACTAAACAAATGTTGATAATAAATACATACTTGTATGTTCATATACAGGTTTTGATGTTTGCAATCATGGTGTACATGCATGATAGCACAGGGACTTGGCACAAATACTCAATCCATATATGCATGCGTGTATGTGTGATACATATAATATATATACACGTATATGGACCGTGGGTTTGGAATCACTCATTTCAATACCAGATTTCAACAATGACATTCAGTCTTGTTCCGCCCTTCAATCTACTGCAAGGTTGATGATCTTGTTGAAGCATACACATTTGGTATAGAAGCCCTCATAGAGAAACACGCACCTCTGCAAACTAAGGTGATAACTGTGAGACCAAATGCCCCGTGGTATAATGAAAATCTCCGCGTGGAAAAACAGAAATGTAGACAAGCAGAGAGACAGTGGCGACGGACCAAATTAACCGTTCACCAACTGATTTATTGAGAGCAATGTCGGCTAGTTGGTTCACTGCTCTTTCAGTCAAAGAAGGCTTATTATTCGGAAAAAAAAATCGAAGGATATGGCAAGGATAAAAGACAACTTTTTAGACTCACCAAAAACCTAATGGGACAGAAAGGTGAAATTATCCTACAAAGCTGTAATTCTGAAATAGACTTAGCAAGCAAGTTCAGAGATTACTTTCTGAATAAAATCAGCTCAATCAGGAAAAATATTACCGAAGTCAACACCTCTGCTGACATTGACATCTCTGTCATGATGATGTAGTAGAGTCGAGATTTTCTCCTATTTTCACTACAAGTTTGGAACAAGAAGCTGGAATCGTAACAATTGAGGTAAGAAATCATTTCCCCTCGATCGAGCTGTCATCTGTCATTTAAGGATTGGTTGTCATATTTTTGACGTTTATTGGCGTGTAAACTACATCGGGCTTGCGATATATTGAATGGTGCGCATTAGCGCACCATGTTAAATATATCGCAAGCCCGATGTAGTTTACACGCCAATAAACGTCAAAAATATGACAACCAATCCTTTTAAATTCCAAACCAACAATATTAGTTGTGCAATGTTGCGAGTATTGTTAATTGCTGTTTTATACACACCGACTGGGTCAGCGGTAAATTGTTCGGAACAGCCGGGTAGTTTCGCATTCCACAGTCGTTGTCAAAGGCAACCAGGCCGACAAAAACAATAAACAAGAAAGTTCCACAGTAAACCATCAATTTAATAATTGATTTTTTTTTTATTTAAATGCATATATGTCAATTACCAATTTGTATACTAACATGTGACCATTTTAATATATGTTGTGGTCATTTAGCGATTTAACTGTCATACAATAACATTTTAAGACACTACACAGCGGAACATCGCCACTTGGCGGTAATTAGGTCAGTGCATCACTACACTGACCTAATCCCCGTTGTAGTTCATTGGAAAATATGTTACAATGGGACCAGTAGAATTATCTAGGCACTATGCAGTGCAAATGCATTTGATGGGGAACCATTGACAAAGCTCTCACCAACAACCCAGGACGAGTTGCGCAACATTATCATGACCTCGCAATCGAAGTCCAGTGAGCTTGATCCACTGCCTACAGACCTATTAAAGCAATGTCTTGAAGCACTGCTTCCTTTGATTACCACAATCATGAATATTGACTGAGTCAAAGGTTCCATTATGTTTCAAGAAGGCACATGTCAGACCATTGATAAAGAAGCCTGGAATGGACAAGGAGGAGTTGAAAAACTACTGCCCAGTTTCAAATCTGCCTTTTCTGTCTAAGATCTTGGAGAAGGTTGTGTCCCGGCGTTTAGAGGCTCATCTCCATGCAATCAGTCTCCATGACAACATGCAATCGGCCTACCGCATGGGACACTCTCCTTAGACGGCCCTCCTACGTGTACATAATGAAATAGCTTCTGCATTGGATAACAAGTGCAGAGCGGTGCTTGTCATGCTGGACTTGTCAGCTGCATTTGACGTCATCGACCATGGCATACTTTATAAACGTCTGGAATACTCTTATGGAGTGACTGATACCGCACTATGCTGGATACAGTCATACCTGAGTGAACGACGACAGTGTGTTGCCATCGGATCTGCCACCTCACATGACAAAGTACTAGATTTCGGGGTTCCTCAAGGGTC